TGTTCCTTACCACCGAGTATGTGTTTCGCAGAGGACGGGGGTTAATGGGCTACACACGGAGGATAGCGTGGCCATTGTATGGAGACGGTAATCGGACACCACCACCTTACAACCCCGTCCACAGGACTTTTGAGCGGAGAAAGTGGTACATTATTACAGCTGTGGACCCACTCACCTCACATATGGGAGGGACCATCATTGGAGGTGAGAGTTTGTTTTTAACGTTCTAAGCAAAACATTCCAGACTTTTCACTCTTTCTTTTTCCATCCATTTCACATAAATCGTAGCGAATAAGACCTTGGTGCTGTTATAGACTGAGGGATATGTGATACTGTCAATCCCGTATTTCAGATGATGGGTCAGGGTGGATGTCCTCCTTATCAAATGATGTCACCGCAGCATTCCCAACAGCAACAGCAAATCTCACCTTATGATTCGAGAATGCAGAAACAACCAAAGCAGGTGGGTCCCTCAGAAAATTTCTTTTCACTTTTTTTATTTTACTTTGAAGAGAGTTGCATTGAATAGCCATTCAGTAGCGTCGTGCCTATCAGATTAGATTGAATATGCTCGTGAACAGGGCTGTTAGTGAGCTTTGTTTCTCAGATCACTTTGCGGAATTAGTAACTTTGGAGGGGCTGTAACTTGCAGGGCATCTGCAGGACCAATTGTTTAATGGGAATCACCGTCATCGGTGCCCTGTTCTCTAACCCCTTCCCTTAGGCAGAAGTCTTCATCTCCTCGTACTCCCAGCCTTTGCAGTATAAGTACTCTGAATGCTTTGAAAGGTTTTTAGCGTCCACCTCTGTTCATGTTGTTCTCTTCCCACAGTATCAGTACTAGTCAAGGCACGCCGCAAGTTGAGGAATCCCCACTGGGGGAGGGCGGGGGTCGCATTTGGTCGCTGGAGCAGGCGGTTGCACCAGACTCTGAAATAAATTTGTCGCGTCACAAAAAAATTCCGATAGTTGTCTTTTCTGGGTTTTTCCCGTTTCACACCCCCCCCCTCGCTCCCCCATCTCCACTCTCGCCTAGTCGATCGCAGAATTTTGGGGAAGATTTGCAAAATTTTTCGGAAAAGTGAAAAAAGTTATGGGAATTTGGGAAAACTGAGGGATATGATAGGTAGTAAGGGAAAGAGGGGGTTTTAGAAGGGGAGAAAATTCAGAAGAGGGTCGTATTTTGTAGCAGTGTTCTCCAGCGGCACCACGTGCCCTGGGCATTTCACGTCATCCTAGAAAAAAATCGCTGTTTGGAATGTGACGTAGGAAGGATTTTCTACGTGAGTAGGAAAGGCAAGAACTCCTGAATAAATATATTTGGTGACGACGAGCTACGTGATAACATATATAAAAGGAATTGGCGTCATGGGTATTGTCTTCTTGTGTGGCCAGTACCGGATTAGCTGAAGTAAGGAAGCGTAAAATGACGTCTCAGACTTCATTCTTTTCTGGCCTATGTCCTGACTTCAGTTCTCGATTTGTGGCCTCTACCTCATTATCATTCGGTTTTATCACTATCGTTGAATTGTTATACACCATTTTCTGTATTAGCGCTGTAGTACTGATGCGTTCAGCACGCGACCGATGACCCCTCATTGACGTCGAATAATGCATTGATGGCACATCTTGGAACGTCAGTGACAACTGACCATTTACTAACTTGTTAACTTGTGACACATCACCTCCTATCTCTTATCAAAAAACGGATCTGTAGTACATCTGGGCCTTTTGTGTTTGCATCATTTTACTTCTTCACGCCATTCTACCCTGCTGCGCCACCTTTTGGCTCGTTGTTTCATCGGATTTTCTTGCTCGAATTTCGCCCTTTCCGATTTATCTCTATTTTACGATTTTTGGCGTTAGTAACCTTATGGGAGTTGAGGCGAAGGAGCACATCTATGAGGGGTTTTCATTGTGTCATTATCGTTGTTTTTTTCTTGTGTTTTCGCTTGTCTCGTCCTTCAAGTCCTGTACATTCCTATCAGTACCCTGTGAGCTCACGTCAAGCTTGGACAGATGGAACGAGTGACATTGGCACAGCATTTTTCAGCTTTTTTTTCTCCGAATCTTGACCAGTAATTTAGACAAGTTTGACAGAAATTTGCAGAGTGCTTGACAGGTGATTGCGAGGCCCACATGGTGTTGGGAAGGTTGTCCTTTTCACATGTATACAGTGTGCAGAATTTTATATACTAAGCGCTTATAAGTGTGCCCCCCCCAGGTTATAAGTCGCCTATTACTACGGACCATTTATCATTTGAATACAGCGTTTTGTCTTCCATTGCATGGTTTTGGCAATCTGTTGAAACTTTGCCACTTAGCAGCCTTTGTGGACACGACTACGGAGGGGGGGGGGTGACGTTTGGGGGTTGCTTTCAATGAAAAGCCCTCGATTCACTGCGACTGTTAGCTGTGCTTCGTTAGTAAGCAATAGGGATTCCATGAAAGAACAACTCAGTTTGGGGGTAAATGTGCTTGAGATTTCTGAATGCATTTTTGTTTAGCATATTTCGCTGAATTATATTTGCAATTTAACACTTACAGGAGCCTCTGTCTCGAAGTTGGGATGCTCAAGGAATGCACTACCCACCTCAACAGCAATGGGGTCAACATCCTGGTTATGGACAACCGCAACAACAACAAGGTGAGTGACGTCGCTTGTTCATTTCGTTCATATTGTACAAGAGGACATGTTTTCTTATTGAAAAGATTAGATCTGGAAAAAACATTTGGCACTATCCACCATTTCTTGTCCACTTTTTGAAATGAAGGATTAAAAGGATAAAGTCTTCGCCGTTAATCAGTCCCTTTTGAGATGCGGCACGCATTCTACTTCCATTCAGAATCGTAGTGGCTTATTGAATGCGATGTGGCCTATACAATGACTTGCGGGGGCCAGCCGATGTACAAGTCAGTGTTTTATCCTCCCAGACGAATCTGGTACCAATTCACCGTTCCCGGAGGGTAGAAGGCTTGGTTGGCCTGGGCGGGAGCTCGATCCCGGGATTGGACCCCCACCCCCCCCCCACCAGACCGTGCGGGTGGTAAGCGCACCATTTGTCTTTACACCGCCTTCACCTTGCTCAAAATATGGTTCGATTTCTTCAGAATGTGCCGCTTACGGTAAATTTGCTCAGAGCTTTGTCTACGTGGGTAGTTTTACTTGCTGAACACGAGTTCACTTCGGTATGACGCAGGAACTTCTGTAACACGCGATGTAGGCGTGTGTTCGCCGGCTTGTTCCAGCGCCAAGCGTTTACATTTAAAGCGGGTGTGTTTGTATCTAGGGAATCAAACCACCCTGAGAACAGGCTTACCGCGAACTTGGTAACTTGAGATGTTTTGGCACGTTTGAGCGTTTCTATATCAAACAGATGTGCTTTTTGTGTTCAGCGAATCAAACAGCCTTTGCGTACTAAATTATAGCGAAATCCAACCCTGGGGACCCATTTTGATAAAAATCTGGCTTGCACTTGGAATAAGGGGCAGTGGAAAGCAAAAAGTTTTTGAGTCTTTGAAAATCACGCAGTTCTCTTGCTTTCTAGGTTTTGGCTGAAGGAGCAGCGGTGACGTGGCCACTTTTTACCGAACAGTGGGTGTACCAATGTCTGGGTTCTGTCTTTTTGTCATTGATACTGAGTGGCTGCAATAATTGCCGTTTGGTAACCCTAGTGAGTCGTTGTTAGGGATGAATGCGCATTCAAACATTTCTATGCCATTAGATAGTGTTAATGCAGACAGACACTGACGAGACTCATCCTGACAGGGGTATAGAAGACTTCATTTTGTTGGTTGATAGTTAGCTTGGTTTTTACAACTTTACTAACAATTGAAAAAAAAAAACTTTGTTCAGAAGTATTCCGACCCCCGTTCGAGTTTCTTGAATGCCTATCGCTCGCGCCAGAAACGTTGTAGTGACAGGGGAGCGTTGACTCCTACCTAGTATTTTGGCGCAATGCAAATGCTATGTTTGTGCTCAAGAGGTCAAACTGTCCTTTGGGATGCCAGTGGCGCAGCCGTAAGGCGATTTTGGTGTAGAAGGATATGAGTGTTGGAATAGCCGCACACTCCACGTGACGAATTTGTGATCGGTATTACTCACGGAGACAAGTTTGAATCAAAATCTAGCCTAAATTTTGAATAATGAAGCAGTGAAAAGTAAATAAGTAACGCAGTCCCTATCCAGTTGCTGTATATAAGAAGATATAAATGTTGCAGATGCCGCCACATCACGGGCAACCACAGCAACAAGGACAACAACCGCCTTCAAGTGGACAAACGACTGTATTAGAAGCGCTTATCAATCAACCTCAATATCCGTCTACTCCCCATCAGGCAGGTTTTCTGGGGTTTCATGTGTTTAATTATTCAGGGTGATTATTTGCTTTGTACTAACTGCATAATACTATGCAAGAGAAGGAGGGCTAAGGTTGATGTAACTTTTTGCATGTTTCTTCCTCGTTTTCGTTTATATTTTATGTAGTGAGCAGGATACGCAGGATAGGATATGAGCAGCATACGATAGGATAGGATATCAGTCAGGGATTTCTCTGGAGGGGGGCTCAGAACACAACCCCATGAAATCCTTCCCTCAGGTACACCCCCCCCCCGCCGCTTTCCTATCCTCCATCCTACCTGCCATTCTTATTTTCTCCGTTTTCGGAAAGATTCCCGGCTTTTTCCCAAAACGAGGACAGAGAAGTGGTGGAGTAGCTCCGGCGAAACGGGAAAACTAAGAAAAGTCAGCCACCGAAAGTATTTTCTCAATAGCAGGTGCCAGTTCCCTCTCCACCGACCAAGAAGGCCTTCTCCACCGCGACCCATCTCGTTGATGATCCCCTACATTACGACGTGCTCGGGGTAAAAGGAGCCCTTCAAGTTTTATTCTCTAATACCCTCTCTGACCGCGACTTCTATTATGAAGCGATAGTTTTTGTACACGTAACAGTTTGTCACTCGCATGAGTCGTCATTGTTTAGGTAAATCGCCACCCTCAAATGATGATGGGTGGTCCGAATCCACAAATGGGACCTGGAGGACATGTGGGAGGATCCATGGACCCGCAACATGACCAACAACAGGTCTACAATCAAAAACTGCGAATGCTAAGACCGTACTGCGAGAATCTCAAGTAGTTTCTTGGCTTTCCATGCTTGGAGTTACAAAGTATAAAAGGCAGTATTGCGGTGACTGCTGTACTTCCTTCACATTATTCGACATTTTATGCCTATTTTCAGCAGTAATGTCTGTTATTTCTTGAGATCTTCGTATTGCACCGATTGGCTCTGCTGTTCGCTGCTATGAATTTGATTTTCTAGGCTGCGGGCACAGCAGTGTCGCATGGAAGGAAATATGGAGGCCGCCCAGAAACTGGAGACAATGCTTGGCGTGTTGGAAGGCAGGCGTGTCGTCAGTCTGGAATATCTGTTGAACCTTGAAAATTGGATTCACAAAAAGGCTGACTTCCTGGTTGGTTTTTTAAGGAATTCAGCGCCGTGGTTCAAGAGATGCAATTAAAAAGTCGAGATGTTTTCAGGCAGCAACCACTCACAATCCTCATGCGGCAGCCATGCAAAATGGTCATATGGGTATGGCT